ACAAACTACCATCATACGGCTTACCACCTCAGCTATGCCATCTCTTATCGAGTTTTCTTTCAGGCAGATCGCTTCACGTGGTGGTGGACGGTGTATCGTCTGATACCATTGGCATCAATTCCGGCGTTCCACAAGGATCAATTTTGGCACCAACATTATTCCTGCTTCATATCAATGATCTGTTGGGAGTAACAACTTGCCCCATCCACAGCTTTGCAGATGATAGTACCCTCCATACTGCGTTCTCTTCCAGAATTCCCATTTCTTCCCAGGAAACTAAGAACTCACGGCGCAGGCAGGTAAATGCTGTCAATGAAGATCTTGCTGAAATCACAGCCTGGGGAATGAACAACCTAGTTGAATTCAACGCCACCAAAACTCAAGCCTGCATTTTCTCTAGAAAGGCGGAACTCAGTATGCCCGATATTGTAATGTCTAGCTCCACCATCCCCACCAAGCCCACCATATCTATGCTCGGTATTTCCATCACCAACACTCTTTCATGGGATAATCATGTCAGATCCATCGCAAAAGCTGCTTCACAAAAACTCGGATTCTTGTTTCGTGCGAAAAGCTACTTTACACCTCAACAGCTTCTCATGATCTACAAAGCGCAGATACGGCCTGTTCTAGAATACTGTTCCCACATATGGGGTTCAGCACCAAAACATACGCTGATGCTCTTAGATTCCATCCAGAGAAGAGCCATTCGCCTGGTGGGTGACGCCACACTCACTCACTCTTTGACATCATTGGAACACCGTAGAAAGGTCGGCGACCTTTCACTTTTCTATCGATACTTCCACGGGAAATGTTCTTCGGAAATCTCTGCAATCATCCCTTCACTAGCAATACCAATCAGACGAACTAGACAAGCCCAGTCAGCACATCCTTTCGTTGTCAACCTCGAAAGATGTCGAACTGCACTTTATCAAGACTCCTTCATTCATAGAACGGCTAGGCTCTGGAATTCATTGCCTGTGGAAGTATTCCCAACAACATATAATCTCCAAAAATTCAAAAAAAATTCCAATACCTACCTCCTGTCCCTATCCTCCCTAGGAACGCACGATGTTCTTTGAACATTATAGGGATTCCCTTTCGTGCGCTCCAATCGATAAAAAAAAAAAAAAAAAAAAAAACATATACTTGGTTTTGTAAAGTTCTCAGAAACATCACTTATTAGCGCCTTAGGAGCTGAGTAACATGGATCGATATAGAAAATTGTGAATATCTCCAAAACGATAACCTCCAGCGTAATTAAGGCCATTATAATAATTCCCTTGATACATAAATATAACTATTCTCATTGGTTTCATGTCCAAATAAATATAGCCAAAAGTAGGTATAATAGATATGTGAGAACCTCATAGGAATGAGAACATAATATACCTTCTGAAACTGTGAAAACTGGAAACACAGAGTTTTGCATTCATAATGCTTCTTCTTAATCCCATACTTCGACTCGCTTTTGAATTCCTTATAATATTCTTCTGCTTTGTAAATAATTGATGGAACAGCAGATTCTCTCAAACAGATTTTGAAATCTTCTGTTTGGAAATGGGCCTAAAATCATTATAATCAGATGTTGTTATAAGAAGGGAATTTTAATGAGTACCTACCTCACAAATTTTGCTCGTCTTCAAATTGGTGTTCCACCCATATCTTCCTTCCATAAGCGAATGGTTGATATTCGTTTTGGAAAATTGAATAAAATGGTATCCATTTTTTCAGAATTGGCACAATTCGTTACACAGCAAGTAATTTCCATAACTGCTTGTTTCTCGAAAGTATAATTATGAAATTTCATTTCAATTCTGACGTTTGTAAAATTGATTGTCAAATTCGAACAATTTTGAATGAAAAAGCGCGGGACGACTATGGTGCTCTCTCTAATATGAAAATCGAGGCTGTGTCAAGTCTGTGGTTTGACCGGGCACATACGTTCAGTATGAAGTCTGACCATCAGTCTGACCAGCCAGCTGTTTGGTAATATCGGTCACGTTTTGAACCTGTCCACAAAGTTACCACATTTACTTCTTATGGAAGTCGAGTCAGCCATTGACTATTCTGGTATCACCACTGTGGTCACTGGTCAGACGAATGACTTGACACATTATAATATATGACTTTTATTCTGTGCTTGACACAGCCCTAAACATAACGTTGACATTCTGTGCTTCTCTGCTGTGTTCTTCGAGTGACTTTTAAATGACCCTTATGACCGTTTTGGACCAGCAGGAAGAAGCCAAGTGTGTCGGCTTCTGTGTTCGTAAAAGAAACTAATAAATAATTGTGATCTACTCACTGCATTGAAAGTAAGCGTTCCCTCCCTTATTCATGGACACAAAGCTGTCGATTTACTCCCACTGAAGGAAAAAAAATATTACCTCCCGTGGAGGTAAAATAAATTACTAGAGTCTAGGCCTAGCACCTTCCGAGGAGGCGAACGTACCCGAGCCCAAGAATGTCTCTAGAAGCGCGCCAATTTTTTTTTTAACCTAATTATGTAGGGATTAGAGGGATTAGAATTTCGAACCATTGTTGAATACAGAGAGATTCGTATATTGACAACAATTAATATCATGGGACAAGGCCGGGAAGTATCACATCGTTGTTGTCACTGTAACTATGGAAATCTTGGTAGATATGGTTTTGATCACGATGTTTTGATAAATACAGATGATAATTCCTGTCTCGAGATCATATAGCTAACCTCGACATGCCTCGACGCTTTGCGTCTCGGCACGATCGTCACGGTTAACTAATTAATCTCACGACAGGCATGAATCTCTTCCCACCTTGGTGTTCAATATACTATAGACAGACCTGGAAGAGACTAATCTCTGTTATGAAATTTTCCATTTTCATTATAAGCAAATAATAATATGAGATCTTAAATATGAGTTTTTTTCTGTGACGGGAAAAAAGTTTGGCATTTCATCTCTGTTGGCAGGTTATAAAATGTCACTTTTCATAAATTACTTTTTTCCCGTGGGAAAAAAGTGAGTACTTCTTTCCCGGATATATATCACATATATATACTCTGTTAATGGCTTTTGTTGTGCTATAGTTCCGAAAAATAAGTCAATAATACCGTCTCCGAGAAAGAACTGCAAGTCCTTTTATCTTCCATTCGACTTCGCGGTTTCGTATATTACTAAACAACTACTGAATTCGCAATTTTTTAAAATCAAATCACAGAATTGAACTGACAGAAGTGACATCAGATATTTGATTACTTCAAAAGAATGATAAAGATGTCTATAAAACGCAGGTGTCCCTACTGTGAAAAACTTGAAATTTCACGTCGATAATTTTCAGATTTCGAAATAATGTAATATCTTCCCAATATTGATTCGTCCTTCCTTCTGTCACAGAAAAAAATAGTGTATTATACACGGGAAAAATATTAGATTTTAGCTCACGGTTTTTTGTCTCCCTCCGCTACGCGTCGGGAGACAACACAACCTGGAGCTAAAATCTACTACTTTTTTCCCTTGTATAATAAATAACTATTGTTATGTCCAGAACGAACTTCAGTCACATTTAGTTAGGAGTGGCCCTGTCCAAAAATCAATATCGATCTTTCTCCCCTCTTCAATGTTGAGAATAATATTCATGAAAAACATCCTGTGAATGAATGAATGAATGTGTGAGTTTGTCAAGATTTCAGTGTCATGAAATATGTCATCAAGATCATGGTAGATGTTGGATTACAGTTCATTTTGTTGTAAGGTTTGTTAATCTGTGGTCATGGTATAAGTTGTTGAAATTCAGATAGATGTATTGAAGGTTCTGAATAAAAATATTTAATGAAATAGCTTCAATTCATTCAAGAAAAGAAAATAAAACCATATAAAATAATATAAAATCATAATCCTGAACATTCAGAAGATTTTATCGTGTCCGCTGTCGGCGCTTGGATAAAATTGCATCCTCAGAAGGTGCTAGCCCTAGACTCTAGTAAATACATTGACTTTAGCTTGCTTCCTTTGCTAGAGATATAATAGGTGTCAGGATGAACCACCTTGATAGGTGTATAAGATCTGTACTGCCCAAGTACCTAATCAAAAGAGTTGTCCTTCCTCATATTACCTTACTTTTAAGTCTTATAAACACGAATAACCTTCTGATCACCTTGAGGTTTGAAAGATTTGCTGATCTAGCGTCTAGCTAGACATTGGCTAGACGCTTGTCACTGTTAGCACAAGGAGTGACGTAATCTATGACGTCATAATGACTCACTAGGAATATTTACAAGCGTTTGAAGTGTTAATCGGACCAATCATAGCGCGCTCAGAGTGATTTGGGTGCGATACTGGTGTGTATCGATACTTCGATACTGAACGCACTAAAATATCGATATATCGATACTTGGCATAGATACTCCGATACTTTTCTTAGTATCGATACTACGAAAAACATTCAACCGATTGTCAATTGTCAAAAAGTCAGGAGTGAAGCTGTCTAATGTCAAATGTAGCCTAACTTGCTATGAACCAGCTCAATTGAAGCTGATGCATTTTTTCATGACATTATTGAACAATTGATTCCAGAAATTGGAAATAATCGGAATTTTATCAGTGGCGTGGAAAATATAGAAGGAAAAGTTATCACAACCCCCTGTAGTGCACCTCTGGACGAAATTCTTGGACTGTCTTTCTTGTCAGAATATGAACCATTAAAAGATGAAACCATATACCGAATTTGAATGGGGAATATTCAATCAATTCTGAGATATTGCAAAAAAATTATCATTATTTCTCAACTTCAACGCCCTGTATCTCGAGAACTGAACACTTGAGGACCGTATGTCCCTATCTCACTGATTATGAAATCACGAAAGCTATCACCTGTCAAACGTTGTCGGTCGAATTTCGAAACACCCTGTGTATAGATACATATGTCCACTCTTAGTCCACTCCAAACTGATGGTGACGTTTGGCATTCGACAAACATAATGCCATCTGTCAGTATCGTTCAGTATCGATACCAAATAAAAATGTATCGATATATATCATATCGATACTTACCGAACTCTACTCGGAATAAATTTTCCGAATTATTATTGAATTTCCCGCAACGAAAATAACGAAATCATTGAAATCAAAATCCCTTGTTTACAAATGCGCGCTCATCAAGTAGGCCGGCGTTTTCTGCTTCGTGCTTCTGTTCTACCCAGTCTACCCATTTAGCAAGTAAACCAAGTTAAGTAGCAGTAGCTAGCAAGATATTAAAAAACACCAACCATAATAACGAATTAAACTGAATTCGCAGTACACTATTTCGCAGTTCTCACTTCGCAGTCGCATAGACAGTTCATAAATCATAATTCTATTTTCGGTAATTTTCTTTTTTGTCTGGGTCGACAGCATACAGCGATCAGCGACTGGGTCAATCAATATCAATATTTCTCTTATCTCAAGTCATCAGTCTATCGTAGTAATTTCTTGAATCAATCCGGGAATTCAACCATTTGAACGGTTGAGCATGGCCGCAACAGAAAATATAGGCAGTATTGACAGTATGAGTGATGGTGTACAATTCTTCGAAGGGGCCGAAAAACTTCTAGAGATCTGGTTCACCACTGCTAACAGTAACCACAAGACAGCTGATTTACGTAAAATTCCAAGGTTTGTTGATTTATTCCATTTTTATGTTTTTCCCGGGTGTTTCCCATGGATTTTCGGTGCCAAATAGGAGGACCTGTAAAGCCTTTCACTGCTGGTCATTCTTGGCAAGTCTCCTATACAGGGTGTCCTAGAATAACGTTCGTATACTGCTGGAGGCAATACTGCAGATAAAGTAAGAAGACATGTTGCCCTTTGAAGGTATAGCTCCTTAAGCAATGCAGTTTTTTTCAATTACCTTTGTATCATTGATCCTAGAATTCCTTGTATCCATAAAATGCTATAAAAATGCCCTAAAAGTTTTGTTTCAAGATTCATCTAATTTCTATCACCAGAATATTGTTTCTTCAAACACTTCCACATGAAAAAGGTATACTTGTTAAAATGCCGTTTTCCAGAGAAGGGTCATTGAAAAATTACTGAAAAATTACACTTTCCTGGAAAACGGATCCTTTCACACTTTTACAGCATTCTAAAAAGAATATCTTTTTCATGTAAAAGTATTCAAAGAATTATATTCTGGTAGTGGAAATGAAATAAATCTTGAACAAAATAACTTGGGACATATTTATAGCATATAGCATAGGTTACAAGTTTCACACCTCCCTGTATATTAAATCATGTTTCTGGTACCACAGAAGGATCTGTAAGATTGAATCACTACAGAATTTTATGACTCTAAGATCAATGATAACAAAGAGAATTGAAGAACACTGCATTTCAGGACCTACCTTCAAAGGGCCCTGGCAAATTTAGGAAGCATTTTTGGACACAAGACACAAGTTGATAGGAACATTTCATTTTAATTTTATCTTGTTTTCATCTAGAATTACCTCTCGGAGTACAGGAATGTTATTCTGGGACACCCTGTATAAGTAGGTATTCTAGATCACTACAAGAAGGAATGAATGGAAATATCTCCCTCTGTAGCTATAGTTCAAATTAAAATGAGAAAATAACAGACACATGACTATCACATTGCCCCACTTAATCTGAAAGCAGCAAAGTGTTTATACTTCTAGTTCCATTTTTTGGAACAAATTAACATGTGGTCTATAAGCGATTAACTTCTCTGTACCATCAGTGATCATTTTCTCTCCTTGTCTCCATGTTTTGAACATTTAAGTTTTATTTCAATATTCCTAAATTGGGGGACAAATCAGATTATTTTCCCAAAAATGTTACTATTGAAAAACTCTCGGAAAAACTACAAGAGACATTCAATCAATATTCAGTGACACATGGTGACACCTTGTTTGAAAAATGTTTTAGAATGTTTTAAAATTCCATCTATCCTTGAATGTTCTGGAAACGATTCTGTTTCCGTTTTCAACATAAGAAAGGCAAAACTATTCTTTGTGAATTGCCCTCTCATATACAATATACAAATTTCATGAATTGTTCATGCCTACTGTTAGTTCTTCTGACATCTACAAGGATCTACAGGAAAACCTCAAGGAAAACTATCAAGGACTTTTCATTAAATCCATGCTCCATGACCAAAAGTAGAGCCTAAAGTCATTGTGTTATCAAAATTTCAATCAATGGTAGATATAGGAGCAGCTGAAATTTTATTTTAACATTTTATTCCTGAACTATTACAGGAAATTCGACCATAATTTCAAAATCTTTAAAATAGTATGGGTTATCATGAAATTTCCATGCTACAATTTAGGTCAAAGCTTGAAGCATTTCAGTCCACTATAGTGATAATTTGAATTTAATCAGTAATCAATGACAGCATTGTCACTTGTGATCAGGGCCGGACTGAAGGTACAAAACGGACCGGGCGTATTTCCCAAAGGAGGCCAATTTACCTGTCAAAAAGTGTGCATTGCAGGCCTTTTTTTTCTCAAATTTCAAGGTCGACTACTCAATATATGCGATGTTAGAATATTCACCACCATAGGGGGTTATTCATGCCACGGGGTGACAGAAAGCAGAAAAGCGCCGCAGGCGAAATATTTTGTTGTTCAAGGTCAAATGCCATCAAATTGATAGTTAGGTTTGGCAAAGGGGTATCATAAAGGTGGGTAAAAATGATTTCAATATCACCTGAAAATTTAAATTTCCTGATAGCAACAAAATTCGAATTTTAACGTCAAGTTTACTTTGACCTAAAAAAATGCTTGAGTGTTATTCGGTAAGACAATTGAATGAGTACAAGTTTCGACTTATGGGGCGTTTGGTCCCAGTGCTGGGACGAGGTAATGCAATTGCAATTGCAAAAAAAAATGACTACGTGAATTACATTAGTGTTGATGGTTTTTCAAATTTCTCCACTCGAAGACTCTCCAAATCGCGACATTTCCACAGATTAGATACTTTTCTGACAAAGCAAGTTTGGGAAAAACCATCAAAGATTCGTTTACAGTTCTGGTTGTCATGCATTAAAATGTTAAAATTTCCTTTCTGTTGCTGGAAAAGTCGACGTAAAATTTTTTCGCTGTCATAATGACAAAATCACAGCGGCTCACGGGAGTTTATGTACATAAATTAAATTGTCACAATGAAAAAAATCATTTCATGCTGCATTTTTTTGCGTGTAATGACCCCGGCTGATGCCTACATTACACCCTTGATACATAAATAACTATTTCAGAAGATATCAATATGAAAGCCTCCACGTGATCTTGGGGCAGACATTTTCATACTCTATTTAAAATTAATTTTGATATAGAAAAGTACTTCTTACATAGTTACATGCAACTTGTCAGACACGTCAATGAATATATTTAAACCTTTTCTAGATCAGGGTAGAATAAACATGCGTTTGTATGAAATTTTAAATTTCTACCAAATATCGGGTATAAAATAAAGCTCCAACAGTCAGAGGCCGAGGTCAGCGGGCCAAAAATGAGCCAGGCCATCGGGCGATCGCCCGATCGCCCGACGGACCAGTCCGGCCCTGCTTGTGATGAACAATATTATCAAGAATTCAGCGGAATTTAGTATCTGCTTTGATTCTTAAAATTGACTTTCACCAAAATTTAATTTACACAGGGTGTTCCCGAAAAGGAGGCCAATCCATTAACCATATATTCTGAGATATATTCCTTGAACAAGAATTAATACTATGTATGCATTTCTCTAGATTTTGGGATTCTCTTTCCTTATTTCTACAAATAAAAATATGAGTATTATGAGAGGTATTCTTTCAATATATGTATAGCAAGGACAAATCAGATGATTTGCCACAAAATGCCTATTTTGAAGAACTTGTTGAGCGCTACTCAGAACTCCCATCAGAACTGTTCAGTTCATTGGAATTAATTTTTATCGAAAATGTTAGTTTTTCGAGGCCAGTACCGTATGACAGCTGATAAATGAAATAGTATCGATTTGTCACTAAAACACAATAAGACTATTTTGAAGAACTCGTCGAGCGCTATTCAGAACTCCCATCAGAACTGTTCAGTTCTTTGGAATTAATTTTTTAACGAAAATGTTAGTTTTTCGAGTTCAGCACCTTATGACAGCTGATACATGAAAAAGTATCTATCTATTCGTCACTAAAACATAGTAAGACTATTTTGAAGAACTCCAATCAGAACTGTTCAGTTCTTTGAAATTAATTTTTTATCGAAAATGTTAGTTTTTCGAGGTCAGCACCTCATGACAGCTGATAAATGAAAACGTATCTATTTGTCACTAAAGCATAAGACTGTTTTGAAGAACTCCTATCAGAACTGTTCAGTTCTCTGGAATTAATTTTTTATCGAAAATGTTAGTTTTTCGAGGTCAGCACCTTATGACAGCTGATAAATGAAAGAGTATCGATTTGTTACTAAAACACGATGAGCTATTTTGTATAACTCGTCAAGCGCTAATCAGAACTCCGATCTGAAATGGTCAGTTCTTTGGAATTAATTTTTTATCAAAAGTGTTAGTTTTTCGAGGTTAGCACCTTATGACCGCTGATAAATGAAAAAGTATCGATTTGTCACTAAAACAGAAAAAGACTATTTTGAAGAATTCGTCGAGCGCTACTCAGAACTCCCATCAGAACTGTTCTGTTCCTTTGAATTCATTTTTCAACGAAATTGATAGTTTTTTAAGGTCGGAGTGTTAGTTTTTCGAGGTTAGCACCTTATGACAGCTGATAAATGAAAAAGTATCGATTTGTCACTAAAACAGAAAAAGACTATTTTGAAGAATTCGTCGAGCGCTACTCAGAACTCCCATCAGAACTGTTCTGTTCCTTTGAATTCATTTTTCAAGGAAAATGATAGTTTTTTAAGGTCGGCACACAGCTGATTTTTTTCAGATTTCATATTTTCTAATGAGTTTCCTCCTTTTTCTCGTTTTTTCTCGATCACTTTGTTCACAATACGAAAGAGAACAGAATAGTATTTCACCAAGAAATGCCGCCTATAGAAACACATTTTCGTATTTTATTTTCTTAAATTATTCCATAATCTGTTCAGTTCACCGGAACTATTGAAGAAATAGGTTTAGAACTCCAGATCTCTTTACAATAGAATAAAAAAATATAACAGAACTCATTCTCTCCAAAAAACGGCGCTGCGTGGAGTTAGCGCTCAAAATTAATTTTCTCCATTTACATCTAAGATTTGCTGGAACTACCCAAAATTTTTTGAATTCCTAAAAAAATTGGGTTTAAAATATAACCGGCGCCAACTCCACATGAGTCCTCATGTGATCTCAGAAAAGTTATTTGCGATTGGACTAAAAATAAGAACATAAATTCAATATTACTAAGGAAAATACTGGATATATATTTGTTGACATTTGTCAAGTGTGCCATGGATAGCCATATGATGCATAATATTTTGCAGTTATTTTTTTCTAATATTCTTTGGAAAACAAAACACTCGGGTATCCACTTTTCACTGTGATTATACATTATTTTGACAGAAAATCAAACTGAAATTTAACGAAAATAAAGAAACTTTTACTGTCTGCTCATTAGGCTTATGTCATTGTCATTACCTGAGTGTTTTGTTTTCCAAAGAAGACTCGAAAAAATTAACTGCATAATATTATGCATCATGGCTATCCATGGCACACTGCCAATGTGAATGAATAAAAATCCAGTATTTTCCTCAGTAATATTGAATTTATGTTCTTATTGTCAATACAATCGCAAATAAAATTGTGCTTGTCAAAAAATGGTTGCTATTTGAAAAATAATAGTGAGACACAAAAATCTATCATAATACAGTCACTGAAACTTTGCGATTAACATTTTCTGACATAACCTGAGGCCCTTAGATAAGTTTACCTCCGATCATGGTCACCTAGTGCAATTTTTAAAGTGGCTCTGAAAAAATTGAGTAGACGTAAAGACTCCTAATAGTAGTAGATCCAGCTGCAGATTTCTACCGTCATCTGATATATATCCCAAAGGAAAGTAAAAAATTGTGATTCATCGAACGGCACCTGTGCCAATTACTAAACTGAACATAATGATTAAACAATTGCACTTTCCAGTGCGGAAATTTGCACTCGATTTCGCGATTTGATAACAAGATGAGAATTATGCCATCCGATACCAATCGAATGGTAGATCTCAAAAACGTACCTGTGCCACCCCTTATAGTCTGAGCCATATCCACGGCACAGCGATTTATTTTCTCATATTATTCCGGAGATACTTCTTTCATGTGTAGGATTGCCATATTTCGCCAGAGTCTCGTCGGTACATTTTCAGAATTCTAGGATGCGGTGTATAAAAATAATCATGTTCATAATATTTTGGATAAAATATTTGTTTGTAATAAAAGGTTACGAAATGAAAATATTTTCACTGCAGAAGTACTCGGATTGCCATATTTTTCAGATGATTTTGCTTTTTTCAACAATTCTTTGTGCTCTTCAACATACTTGTAAAACTCTGCGCAAGTCATGTCATAATTAACTTGACACTGTAAAATCGACTCCACATTCTCTGGGAGCAGGCGATTTCGTTCAACAGTCCAGTGGACCGACATTGATGAAAAAACTCTTTCCACTTCCAAATACCCACATAATTCCAAAAGTTGGCATTTCCGATCCGTTCTTTAAAAAAGTAAATCCATTTCTCTTCCACCGAATTGAACATCTTTAATAATTCTTTCGAGGCAAGTTTAGCTTCTAAAGAACTCCTCTTCAGATACACATATTGCTCGAAGAGATTGTCGCTCAATGTTTCCACACCATTACTATTGTGGTATAAAATAGCGTTTCAAATTTTTTCCCATTCCGGGATTTCATATAGCCTCATCCAATCGTACACTGTACACTCCATATTTATCAAATGAATCAGACCACTTTTTTCAGATATTCAGGAGCTGTGTTGAAAAATGCCACTGTCTCTTCTTCAAATTTTGAAATCAAAATTGTTGTTTCAGGTGTACGATTATCATTTTTAAGTTTGTTCAGTAGCGTTTTCGTTTGCAAGCCAATACATTTGGCAGATTTCTTTTCAATTAGAGTCTTTTGTGTTTCGTATAATATTTTACTGATTTCCATTATAGATACTTTGTTTTTTTCCACGCTTTTTATGTTCTTTTGAAACAAATGAATCTTGGAATGCAGAAACAGGAAATACATTTCACTGAGATTCTTTCAACCGCGGGCATTAATGACAGTCATCTTGTTCTTGAGTGTGACAACCGTGTGTCCCGATATATCGGGACGGATAGCAAACCTATTCATATGATAACGAGGGCCTACAGAAAGTCTCATTCAGTAGTTAACATTCTCCGAGACATTCTCATTGATTTTGTTGATTTGGTTATTCAAGTAAAATAACAAAAAATCAGTAATGGAAATATAATTACAATATAACCTAATTTTTTCGTTTGTTTCAGATCAAAATTGGAATCCCTAATGAAAATTGTACGATGTGAAATAATGAGTTTTGTGAAGAATGATCAAATTGATGCTTATGTATTAAGGTAAGATGAAAAATATGTGGATACCAAGTTGAGTCTCATAATCAAAATATCAACTATTTCTACATTTGAGATATTGAATAGGTCGAATTGAGACCAGGTTCTGGTTAGTTTAAATTGAATAACTCCGTTTTCAAGATATATTTGCAAAACATAAATAAAAAAACTTTCAAAAATGCCATATTCTGATCCCGAATCATCTGAGAATTCCAATAGAGTTACAATACAATGGGTGTTTCATTTAAAACTTGAAAACCATAGCCATTTCCGGTGAAATCGAAAAATATGCAAAAACTCTCCTCTTCGCATTTCATTCATCTAAACCAAATCTCATTTTGATACACCTCATATTCTAGATGTCTAATAGTTTCGTTGGCACCCGGTATACACCTATATTGGTGTTGCCACTATTCCGGGTCAGATTCTAAACCAGAACTGGATGAAAAAGTAAATCAAATGTAATCACCATCTTATCAGTCTCCAGTTTCATATCAGTAATAACTGACCTTAAGTGGAATGTAACTATTGATATAAATAATCTATTCACTCCATTGACGGCTATGATTGAGAAAAAAATCTTTCAACTTTCCAGAATAGTTTGTTAACTGTTTCAAGATTCTTGAAATTTAGTAGTTTTGGAATTCCATGTTGATAAACCATTAAAAAAACGCATATCTGGAAATTATGGTTCCTGCTAACCAGGGCCTACTCTTGGTGAGATAGAGTAGGCCCTGTGCTAACACTGCCATTGAATAAATCATGAAGTAAAGTTTTCAGAAAAATAATTTGATAGATTTTGAGATTTGATAGATAGATAGTTGAAATACTTGTCAACTACGTTTTGTGTGTGTACTTCAATGAATACTATTTTTTCTCCAAATGACATCAAAAGTGGATTTTCAATGACACTTAACAGGCAGAAAAGGTGTACTTTTACTGCCTTGTTGCTATACAACATCCCAAGTAATTTGAATCAAATTGATAATCAAAATTGACAATGACTTTGGGCTAACAAAAAATGATGGATTATTTGGACTTTGCGTGAAATTGAAAAGAATTTGGAGAAAAAATTATATGTTTTACATGGCGGAAAAGAAGATGTAATGCCTTGGCTGGTTTCCTAGCATCCGCTTCGCCTAGGCTATGAAACGCCAGCCGCGGCATTAAATCTTGTATTTTTCTGCCTAGTAAAACAAATAACTATTATAATCCGTTAGAAGAAAACCTTTAGTGAATCTTAGAGAATATTCTGAATGCCTGATGAATGAAATAACAGCTGTTGAGGTATTGCCAATTGCAAAACTTGATACTCGGTTTGGTATTCATTATTTTCGCGTTAATTTGAAATGGTCGAATAATATTATGAATGAATAAACTAATAATGAGGCAGATTATTTCTGCAAATAATACTTTCTTTATTTTGGTATCTTTGCATGAACATAAGGTATATAAACCTGACATGGCCGGTTTTGCACAATCAAATGACAATCATCTAGTATATAATAACTATTTTCCTCAACACCAGCCTGAGTTTTCTAACCCAAACGGTTAGCGAAAAAATTGTGTTGTGCCAGCTTAAACTCGAGCTTAACCTTAAGTTAACCATTTCATAAATTTTCACCCAAATGAGTTATGGAAATGATTGCAACGCTCAAATTTATAACTTTTTATGTTTTGATAAACCTATATAGGACAAATTGAATACGTGGATAAAACAATATACGGGTGACACAGAATCATGATATACCCTCTTTTCTCCTTTTTGAATATGCTCACTAGAGGGCACTTTCTCACATTTTAGGATTTTTTTTATCTTTCGGTTTTCCCGGACATGGCATCAACTTTCGATTTTCAAATGGAACACTCTGTATTTTATTCCATAATCGGTTAGGTATATAATGTATATAATATAACGAATTCAACGATACCGGGTTTGATTGGGTAATTTCAAACGATTACAAATAAATTCGAAGTTTCTATATGCTCAATAGGTTTGATGGTGCAATATCGAAACGTATTTCTCTGTCACACTCATTGACCTCATGGAAACTTGGAACGGAATATCTTCGTAATATGATAGTTTGAAATAACCCAATAATACCCGGTATCGTTGGATTCTTTATAATAATTCTCAACCGGTTATGGAATGAAATATACGATGTTCCGTTTGAAAATCGAATGTTGATGTCATTTCCAGGGAGTCCGAGGTATACCATAAGTCTGTATCACCCGGTATGAACAATGGCAGTATGGCACAGAAGACTATTCTTGTCTCTCCAGGTTGTTTTCTTTGATAGCATCTCTGGAACTGGCACAGCTGGGCCTAGAAGAATGGTTTATGCGCCTTGTTTATTATTTTGTCATTTTTTCGACTTCATAATTTTTTTACCTAAGTCTAAAATATCAGATTTTGGACATAGAAGATAAGGCTGAACTGGGACAGAACTGGGTAGTTACTGGACAGGTTGTAAATTCTTATTTTGCAGCCTCGACGGGAGGGGGCCCAGGTAGCCGCGTAGTAGAAACGTTAGTATTTTATTCATGTAGGCGTGCCAGAGTTCAAATCCTAACGACTGCAGAAGGTTTTCTGATGGCCCAAGAAAGTGTTTGGGATAACAGGTTAAACTTGATTCCTTGCTCACATAATTCTCTTGAAGACTTCTGAGGGTTGCTCGTAAGGGGGCAACCGGATAACGGATCATGACAATTTTAGAACAATTTTCAGAGATAGTTCCGTGTGATTCACTGTTTGGTTCAAATTAACACTACTGATTCTAAGCTGGCGTATGGAGTCAAGTAACAAGGCCTATACACAACACACATGAGCTGATGGACCTCTCGTCGGTACACACCCATCATCAACAAAGTACATGTATCTAAACCGTTTAACCTATTATACAGGGCTTTCATTCCGGAAAAAATAGGTCGATTTAGATATCAAGGGGGAAGTAAAGTATCGGTATCGATTGACCCCTACTTCGAAATTCCAATTGGCTCTCCCTAACCCGAAATACATTAAATTCAAAGTCTAGCAATAACCAAATCAGCCAGGTGAAAAATTACTATTTTATCTGTACATATCAAAGATACACTCGTAGATACAGGTCTATTATAATATCGAGAGGGAAGTTGAAAAAGGTCAGGTTAGATAGTTTTGTCAGTTTTCATCGAACGTATCTTCAGGAGTTATAAGAGATGAATTATAATGGAGATCGCCATTGATGTATAGGTGCACTTTTTATAAAATTCATTGAAAGATGGATTGATCTACTGATTTTTTTCAATTCAACTATTTCCTCACACCAACAAAAATATTCCGTAGTTGCATATTGTTAAATAGTCATTGCAACTTTACCATAGATTGACCGACAAGATCTCCAGATCCGACACATCTCGTCCAGACTCAAACTAAGAACGATTTCAAAATGTAGACAAATTAATGGGAGAACGTTTCAAAAAGTTCGTCAAGAATTCTAAAATAGGCTACCATTGATTATGGATATTGGAGCATATTTTGAATAATCGCCTCATATCCGTCACATGACGGAATTTTGTCCGGAATAATAGGAGCAAATAAATCACTGTGCCATGGATTTGAATCAAATTGAGGGGTGGCACGGGTTGGTTTATGAAATCTACCATTCAATTGGTATCGGATGGCATAGTTCTTATCTCGTTATCAAATCGCAAAATCGAGTGCAAATTTACGCACAGGAAAGTGCAATTTTTTAATCATTTTGCTCCTAGTAGTGATTGACACAGGTGCCGTTCGATGAACTACAATGTTTTCCTACGACTACTACTGTAAGTGATGGATATTGTACACAAAACAATGGCAGTAAGCTTCTCCTTACACACGTGTGCGTAAAGAGAGCGATCGCACGGTTTTCATAGGTATGTTGATAGATGACTTTGTTTTGTTGCTCAGGCGATGTGTCAATAACAATTAACAATTTCATTAATGTCACTAGCTAGGTGGGTAGGTGCTTATCTTTTTATCAATCAATCCAGCTATCCACCGAAACCGAAAGCATCAGGAAAGTTATATTTTTTGAAAATATGATCATTTTCTATTGAGAATCTTCAATTTCAGTTAAAAAAAATGATGTCAAGCGATGACGATGTGCAGATTATTTCTACACCACCAGAAATGTTGGAAAATGCTAGAATGGTAAAAAATGAGTTGCTACCCGCTAAGTCTCGTAAATGATACGAAATAGCACATCAAAAATTCCTGGACTGGAGAATTAGAAATAATACCATGTCATTTTCGGAAAACATCCAATTACCAAATTTCATGAAATAATCATCACTCTGGTCGATATATTCCATGTTACGATCAACACTAAATATCAATCACAATATTAATATAGCAACATCATATCCCATTGCCTCAAAAGGGAAGGATGGATTCCGAAGTAAAAAACCAAAAATACTTAATGCTGAACAGATCAATTACTTTCTGCAGAATGCTCCTGTTGAAGGTAATTTTTCAAATAACATACATACCCAACATTGAATTGATGAATTCCTTTTTCGTTAAATAACAGGAATAATTAAAAAAGTTCCATCTTTGAAATTATATTTATAAAATATCTAATACGGAGAAATGGTGATAGCTCAGTTGTTGGAAGCGCTGACTTCAAACCATATGGTCGGTGGTTCAGAGCGCGGTTGGAGAACTTTTTTTTATTATTTTCAATAACGATTACAGAATCTCTCGTGCTGCACTGTTACAAATAAATAACCATTATGAATGTTAATTTTATATTTTTATACAATGTGTTTTTGGCTACCTACTAATAAAGCTGTTTAGATATGAAAAACGGCTCCATTTCAGTTCGAATTGATGAAAATGTCTCGGTATGCAATGTATCAATAAACAAACACAAGAATTGTGATTTGTAACTTTTCATGCAGCTGGCTTAGTGACGAGAGACGTTTTATATTGGTATTCGTTATTTTGTGCCTTAAGAGGAGGATACACCATGCATCAGTGCAAT